TGATATCATTTTAAATACCACCTTGTTTGAAGCAATAAATAGTTAATATGATATCTTATAGCCTGTCTGGTATATTTCACCATATGTTTGGTGCAATATAGCCCGGTTGGAGCTGACATGCCATAAAACAATATTTCATTCATTCATTGATTTGTTTGAAGCAGGCATTTAGTCTTGGTTTGGATATAGTACCTGTAGTGTCTCACTTATGTGATTTACTAATGCCGATCAGCTGATGAGTATATAGGCCTACAGTACATGTACATTTAGGTGAAAAATTTAATTTGATGATATGTGGACTAAAATAGTGTTTTATGGTAAGAAAAAATCTATATATTGAAGAAAAACTTAAATTTGGGCGGAAACTCATCTGAATGTTTTTTTATTTGGTCTTGTGACATGTTAAGGTTTACATTATAAATGTCAAATTTATTATTTTATTTGGTCTTGTGACCATGTTAAGGTTTACATTATAAATGAAGAGTCCAGGGGAAGAATGATCTAAGTCACATTTTTGTCTTTCTGCATAAAAGGCAAAACAGACTTTTGGACAAGAATGCTTGACGCAAACAGAACAATGAGTGGGTTTAATTACAACTTCAAAATGATGTTTAGTACGAACCATAATTACCGGTTCAACTGACTTCAGCTTTTAAAACAAGTTAAGGTTAAATAAAGGGTACATTGGACTTGTATTTGTCCGGGAGGCCATTTCAGAAGCGCCTTGGTTTGATGTGACTCCGTTCGTTTTTACCTGAAATTGATTGTTCCACAGAAAGCTTATACAATTTGCTACCAGATGGCGCCATTAACTGGGGTTCGTTGTAAAAGTGATTTAGATCGTTCTTCCCCGTGGCACTTTAATATGTCAAATTTATTATTTTATTGTTAATTTCTTGCTTTGTGTTTGTTTGATTATTCTGAATGATTTGGCATTAGTTATCTGACAATGTATATTAAAACATGATATTTATACATGAGAGAGACAGACAGACAGAGAGAGAGAGAGAGACAGAGAGAGGAATGATTTTTAACTGTCCACTGACACAAACTAGGTCATTTCGGGACTAACATGGTTTAATTTCATTTCAATAACTCTCTCTCTCTCTCTCTCTCTCTCTCTCTCTCTCTCTCTCCCATTCTTATACATGTATGACCATGAAAAGAAAAGATTTGTAAAAAATTCTCAGAAAGAAATATCTTTGGGTTTCATAGATATGTGTTTTACTTTTCACAGTATTTCATGTTACCAAATATTTACATTTTATCTCCCTCATTGACTCATTCATATTTATTTATGGAACTGTTTAAAAACTCTATAATTAAAACTGCATGTAACATCACCCATTCTTATCATAATGTCTATAAAAAGAAAACATTTACCCAAATTCTCTGAATCACTTTGAGTTTCATTTTAGGGGAAATCTATGTCCGTTACCTAAATTTACCTTATACATATTAAACACTGAGCGTTGTGCAAAGAGAATATAAACATCCTGTTCGACATCAGTTTTTATTATGTTGTTACACAATTTTTTATACGCCCACTGAATAAATATCACAGACAAGTTATCGGACACAATGTATATTGATTTGGGGTTTTATATACTATTAGGATATGCGACATATATGAGTAATGTCTACGGCCGACATCAAGGAGATTAAAACGTGAGACAATGGAGAAATCACGGGTTAATCACATAGATTAAGTTTATTTGATTGATATATAGTTCGACAAAGGAAAACCAATGACTTCTCTTCAGGATTGAATTGATGAATTGTCCGACAAAGAATTAAGTCAGCCAATCAAGGCAGATAATCAAGTTAGGTGTATAGCCGGCATAAAACGATAAATACGTTGATCACTTAAAGATACATTATGGGAGAATCGGTAACAAGTTGGCAGTTCTCACTATAATAGTTAAAAACTAGATAAGGTAGAAGGCAATTTGGTGAAAATTTCATTCAAATTGATCCACTATGAACCGAGAACTAAGCGACTGAAATTCCCATAAGCCTCGGTCATCATTACTAAAGTCAGTACGATAAACAGCATAGTCTCGATTATCCATTTAATCGTTTAATGAGAAGGAACGTTGTGCAGTAAATCGGCTTATAATCCACTAAAGATCGCAGGCTAGCGCAGCCATCTAGAGTTGATTATGGCCTGGATAGGTTAATTAATGTCTAATTAATAATTTAAATAACATTTTAGGCCTAAAGAAAGACCTGAAATAGGCAGATTTAGCTCTTGCATAATGCATGTTTAATTACCTAATCAATCCAGCCTATTATCAACCATAATCGGGTTATGTGATAGTTATGCACTCAGTACACTATATTAATTTTGAAATTTTGAATATTATTTACCATGTCTTTGATGTCCGATTGGGCATATTCCTGGTCGGACAATTTAAGACGTTTGGAAAATAGCGTCGGACATGTGTAAAATAGTCGTATGTTTGCACTATACTATTAAGGTTAACTCGATGTTAGGTCAAGACCATTGACCATGTCTCTTATCATGAATTGTTTTGTATACAAGTAATACAAATATCTATTAATGAACTGTAAGGTAAATCAAGCCATTGACCAAACAATCTAGATCAATAGGCTAAGTATTGGCGATTCCCTCGACTGGTATATTTCTTTAATGAACACAAGATGATATCTTGTCTACTTATACAATATAGGCCGAATTCTACTGACCAGTACGGCTGTGACGTTACCCTGATAAACACTAAATAATATTGATCCAGGGAATCTGTCTAAAGTATATGTCAACCAGCTAGCACTTTTTGACCTCACGCATCCCCTGGTTCGTCTTTTATTCTGTACCCTTATATTTTTAATGACCACTTAATGATGTTTATCATAGTGAGATTGTAACATTACCAGAGTCTTATATAAGGCGAAAGGACGGTTAGCCTAGATGAGTACCGGGCTGCATATCATAGGTACTTGCTACTCCACGGCAGACAACCAGACGATATTAAGAGGGCTGACAGACAGAAGGACGAATTGATCTAAAAATCACAACGTGAACTTATTACATTACTGTAGTTTGACTTTGTATCCTAACAACATTAAAAAGTATATTCTATATCTAAGAAGAACCTGGTTATTATTATTATTATTATTACACTCTACAGTACTACACATGTCCGGAATATACAGGCAAAATCCCATCACTGGCGTATAGTGTCGTCGCCCCTGTCCGTCCGCACTTCGTTCTCAAATAGCTTAAAAATATGGTATATCAAGGTTGTGGACCCTATAGAGGTCACAATTTTTATCCGATATTGTTGAAACTTGAAATGTAAGTTTATAACCCAAAGATTTCGGTTCCTTTCGATATTCGCGCATATCGGACCGTAACTTCATGAATTATGGCCTCTTATTGTACGAAAAATCATGTTTTTAGCCTGTGGACCCTATAGAGGTCATAATTTTTATCCGATTTAAAAAAACGGTTTATTATATCACCGTTAAACTCTAAGGACTAAACTCTCTAAGGACGGCTGAGTTCGAATTTAGTGAGCATCGGCCCAAAACTGACAGACAAAATGGCCGCCGTTCGTTCTCAATATTATGGTATATCAAGCTTGTGGACCCTATAGATGTCACAATTTTTATCTAATTATGTTGAAACTTGAAATGTAAGTTTATAACCGAAAGATCTCGGTCCCTTTCAATATTCAAGCATATCGGACCGTAACTTACTGACAGATAAAATGGCCGCCCTTCGTTTTCAAATAGCGTAAAAATATGGTATATCAAGGTTGTGGACCGTATAGAGGTCACAATTTTTATCCGATTTTGTTGAAACTTGAAATGTGAGTTTATAACCCAAAGATCTCGGTTCCTTTCGATATTCGTGCATATCAGAACGTAACTTCCTGAATTATGGCCCCTGATTGTACGAAAAATCGCGTTTTTAGCTTGTGGACCCTATAGAGGTCATAATTTTTATCCGATTTAAAAAAACGTATTATGATATCACCGTTACACCCTAAGGACGGCTGTGTTCATATTTCGTGAAAATCCGCCCAAAACTGACAGACAAAATGGCCGCCCCACGTTCTCAAATTGCGTAAAAATATGGTATATCAAGGTTGTGGATCCTATAGAGGTCACAATTTTTATCCGATATTGTTGAAACTTGAAATGTTAGTTTATAGCCCAAAGATCTTGGTTCTTTTCGATATTTGCGCGTATCGAATTGTAATTTCCTGAATTATGGCCCTTGATTGTAGGAAAAATCACTTTCGTTTTAGCTTGTTTTCTATCCATCTCTCGAAAATGTGGGTGTATCCTGCCTGGCAACCGCTGGTTCTGAGGTATTCGGGTGGGGAGGGGGGAGTTGGACCCCCCCAAAACTCCACTCTGGATCCGCCCATGTTACATGTACATGTAGCTCTCCATTAATTAATTTGATATGGTTTACCAAATAGCTGCCCCTTAAAGGGACAATAACACTCTTGCTGGCTTGAAAGCTCCAGGAAATAAATAATATCTCTATCTAAGTACTAGATGTTTAAGTGTCCTACCTGTTGTGTAAATTATCCATTACATCCTATTTTACTTGTCCAGAGGGTTCGAAAATATTTTTAAATCGAAGTTTCATTTGAAAAGGTTTACGTTAGACGTTTCAAACCATTATGTTGAATTTTTCAAAATTTTTAAATAAGGTGTGTTAAGATGAAATTTGTATCATCAATTAATTGAAATATTGTAAAATAGTACAATTTGTTGACCAGAATAAAGATTGGGACATATTATTCAGTTACAACAAGAGTGGTATTGAGCCTTTAAATAAGGTGCTGGGTAGGGATTACTCAGTAGCTGCCCCTTAAATAAGGTGCCGGGTAGGGATTACCCAGTAGCTGTCCCTTAAATTATGGGTAGGGTTTACCAATATAGCTGCCACTTCAATAAGGTGCTAGGTAGGGATTACCACTGAATACTGCAAATTAGAATATTTTATTTTATTTTCATAGTTTCAAACAGTATGGCTGAAAGTGATGATACGGGAAAGCGGAAACGAAATGACAATGACACCAATACAGTGTTAGAGTTGGATTACAAGGTATCTCCTATTCTACTATTTCATAGGTTTAGAAATATAAGTATATAATGTTCATTATTATTTTGTCCACTAATATCGTATGGGGTTTTAAAATCACTTCGCAGGTTAGGTAGGAAGGTCAGGTTTCAAAATCACCAGGGAGGGTAGGAAACATTGGGTTGAAAAATGACCAGGGAGGGTAGGAAACATTGGGTTGAAAAAAGACCTGGGAATGTAGGAAATGTTGGGTTGAAAAATGACCTGGGAGGGTAGGAAACATTGGGTTGAAAATGACCTGGGGAGGTAAGAAACGTTGGGTTGAAAAATGACCTGGGAAGGTAGGAAACATTGGGTTGAAAATGACCTGGGAAGGTAGGATACGTTGGGTTGAAAATGACCAGGGAGGGTAGGAAACATTGGGTTGAAAAATGACCTGGGGAGGTAGGATACGTTGGGTTGAAAATGACCTGGGAGGTAGGAAACATTGGGTTGAAAATGACCTGGGAGGTAGGAAACATTGGGTTGAAAATGACCAGGGAGGGTAGGAAACATTGGATTGAAAATGACCTGGGGAGGTAGGAAACATTGGGTTGAAAATGACCTGGGAGGGTAGGATACGTTGGGTTGAAAAATGACCAGGGAGGGTAGGAAATGTCCGGTTTAAAATCACCAGGAAGGTAGTAGAAACGACGGCTTTAAAATATCTATGTAGGATAGATACATGTAGGAAACGTTGGGAAGGTAGAGAAACTGATTTCTATGGGTAGAGAAATCAAAGGATCTTGAAAAATGGGCAGCAGCAATGCTTTGTATACCAATTATAGAAAAAAAGATCATTTGGTAAAATGAGGTTAACAAATGTTCATATTCTGTTTGTGGATCAATCTGATTAAAACACAGATCCTATTTCGTTTCGTTTTTTATAGTTCAAAATTTCGTTTTACCTGACTTTACTACACTAGGATCTGGAAGAGTTGTTATCATTGACGTCTTCTGGATGACGTGAGGGATTAGCCAACGAAACAGTCTGTTACAGCAAGCTGTTGGCGTGAGGTGCACAGAAATGTGGGTAATCCACTTGAAACATCAATGCTGATTGGTTAATCAAATGTCTGATGTCATAGGGTCACAAGCCGCTCGTATAACCTCTGACGCTACCTCCCAAAACAACTGGTCAGATCTTCATGTAGTGTAGGCCATTGAAAGTATTAAAAAAACAAACGAAATATAGATCTGTATTTTAATCCGATTGTTTGTGGATTTGTCTATTATCCCACCAGGGGGGGTTGGATGGCTGAATGGTTAGCGTGCGCGCGCGCTGTATCATAAAGTCTGTCATTGAGTCGACTGGCATGGTTTCAAATCCCCGGTTGTACGTGACAAGGAGTAGGGTCGCCTGTCCAACCTCGTGGGTTTACTCCGGGTCCTCCGGTTTCCTCCCACTGCTATAAAGACCCCTATGCGCAAGCGAATTATGGAAATAAAGTTGAACCATATGTTAGTCCCGAAATGACCTAGTTTGTGTTGAGTGGACGTTAAACCCCATCTCTCTCTCTCTCTATTATCCCACCAGATCTTTATAAATGGAATAGTCCAAGGATTTAAAATTGTTTTATTTCATCTTGGGATAGCCGTAAGATCTTTAAATTGTTTTATTTCTTCTGTACAGGTATTCAATGATCCTATTCACGGCCATATTGAAATTCATCCCCTTTGTATGAAAATTATTGATACACCAGAATTTCAACGTCTACGGTATTTAAAACAACTAGGTGCTTGTTATTATGTCTTCCCTGGTGCTTCACATAATAGATTTGAACATTCCATAGGGTAAGGATGTTAGAATGTATATGTTATTTCCTATAGAATATTTAATTTATGATGTAGGAAAAGTGAAATGAAATGGGACTTAATGTCCTACTGTTCTACACCGACCGAGTAAATGACAACGGGCATATGCCATACATTGTACTGTGAGGGACATTTTTCCTGTCTTAATTAATTAGTCCACTTGGTGCAGAAACCTGATTTGATTTCATTTCCCTCCTCATTTTTTTCCGTTTCTGCTTGCGAATATCTGGTATCGAATTGCGGGTCTTTCTTTCGGCATGTTATACATGTATAAATTAGTATCTACATGTAGTCTATCGGATGGCCGAGATTTAAATGGATATGAACACTCGCAAGATTTAAAGATTTAACAATAATGTGGATAATCAAGACTTAGTCTTGGTTGTCAAGTACCATTGCTACAATAATAAATTAAATGATCTATGATAGTTCTTCAATCAGTGATAACTTTGCTTAAAATGAAGTCGTTAGAATTAAATTTTCAATATATTCATTTTTCATTATTTATTTAGGAGATCAACACCTCCTGTTTCGCATTTAGAGGGGTGTTATTGTCCAGTAGACATGTCCTGAGATCATGAGGACGCAAGACGCGTTAGCATGTTAAAATTTTTGAACTAAATGTATTATAGCTCTGTATCTAAATCTTAAACAATACATCTTGAAGCAATAATTTTGTCAGATACATACAGCTATAGCTCAGGTGTGATAGTGTGCTCTTTATTTCAGTGTCTGTCATCTTGCTGGTGAGATGGTCTGTAGACTTCAAAAACAACAGCCAGAGCTTGGTGTAACTGATGAGGATGTTTTGTGTGTGAAAATAGCTGGTCTGTGTCATGATCTAGGTAAGATTTTACATATGTTAGTCTAAAAATAACCTTGTTGGGTTGGGTGATGTATATCTAATGTTGGGTTGAGTGATGTATATCTAATGTTGGGTTGAGTAATGTATATCTAATGTTGGGTTGAGTGATGTATATCTAATGTTGGGTTGAGTAATGTATATCTAATGTTGGGTTGAGTAATGTGTATCTAATGTTGGGCTTTTGTTTTCAGGTCATGGTCCGTTCTCCCATTTATACGACAATATATTTATACCGTTGGTTGTTCCGGGATCTGATTGGACAGTGAGTACTCTACTTTACATAGAATTTGTTTGTGGGTTCTCTACGGGTCACAATATTTATCCCATTTATAGGGTTATATCCCAAAGATCTAGGTTCCTTTTGATATTGGCCTGTATCGGTTCAGAACTTCATGGATTATGGCCCCTAATTGTATAGAAAATCAGATTTTTAACTTGTTTTCTGTCCATCTCTTGCAAAATGTGGGCATATCTTGCATGGCAACTACTTATTTAATTATATTACTGATAAATAAAGCAGTACCAAAAAATTGAATTTGTAAAGAACGGGTGAGAGAAATGGAGAGAAATGGGGTTTAACATACACTCGACACAAACTAGGTCATTTCGGGACTAACATGGTTTAATTTTATTTCAATAATTCGCTTGCGCGTAGGGGTCTTTAGCAGTGGGAGGAAACCGGAGGACCCGGAGAAAACCCACAAGGTTGGACAGGCGACGCTACTCCTTGTTACGTACAACCAGGGATTCGAAACCACGCCAGTTGACTCAATGACAGACTTTATGATACAGCACGCACATGCTAACCATTCAGCCATCCAACCCCCCGTAAAGAACAGGTATTGTTGTTCTTGATAACCATAGTTAAAGCGGAAATTGAAAATTTTCTAAGAAAGTCAAAACGTAATTATTTCTCACACTTAAAACTCGTTTACGCTGGAAATAATAACACAATTACCTCCCTTGTTTTCTATTCTCCACCATGGAGTAGCGATATTCAAACGTTTGAAAATGAAGAGGAAAATGATATTTTTGCCAATTTCTCAGCTGGCAATAGTGAATTATAGGATTAATAGGATTATTCTTTAACAAGGTAGGACTGTTTATGGATACCATCTATTTTCAGGCTTTATTTTAATAAATTTTAAAAATATAACTTAAAAATTTGCATTTTCCGCTTTAACTGTTGAAAATATGCACACAACAATAGATTTTAAAGTAAAGTCGAAACCGCAGAGAATTACAGTAATAAACGCCAGAGACAAATCTAAGCGATCACAGTGGAAACAAAAGATTTGTAGTAGAGAATGTATTACACGTCGGATGAGGTTAACAACTTTGTGGCACCGCTTTCCATGTTCGACTGACGACGTATAGTGCTACAGATCCTTTATATAACGTTTTCTATATCTAAGACTACAAAACCAACTACCAGTTCGATCGACGACGTATATTACTCCAAAATTTGTAAACCAATTCTTTTACTGGCCGTTAGTAGTTATGAATTCATACAGCTAAAAGATGGTTGATCATGTTCCTGAAGCAACGACTGCGAGCTTTACAACATCTGAACGTTGCTAGATTACTTTTCAATTTATAGCTACTTTATCTGCAGTCACAAACAGTAGCGTCCTATCAGAGGTTGTGACATAGCGACCTCCACATAAACCTTGACATTAAACGAACCTTGAACTTTGCAACTCGATTATCACAGGTAGACATTTTAGCTTGAAAGCACGAGACTTGGTATTCGCGACGATTGAGGAATCTGATAGCCTCCCAAGCTGTGTGAATACCCAATCGAAATTAGTGCCGAAGTATGCAGGGTATTACGTGAAGGCCTTGATAAGATGTACATATACTATTCAAAAAAAGTAGGGGATATTTGATTTTTAAGTGTTATTAAAGTCACCTAATGAAACTGACGAAGAAACAAATGACAAAATGAAATGAAGTTCACATTCATCGATTTATTCCAAATGATCGTTAGACTAAGTAAGGCACAGACTGACCATTATAAGGGTAAAATGATACCCGGGGTCAAACAGCAAAGTTACCACAGCATCACAACCAAGTCAGTAACGGGTAAATCCTCCTCTGTTTGCCAAACAAGCATTGATCCGACGTGGCATACTCCTAATGAGACGTCTAAGGTCATTTTGGTCCAGATTGTCCCATTCCTGTTGCAACGCAGCAGCAAGTTCTTGGACATTTGCAGGACGTTGTTGACGTTGACGTAACCTCTGTCCAAGCATGTCCCAGACATGCTCGATGGGGGAGAGGTCGGGACTCAGTGCTGGCCAAGGTAATGTGGTGATGTTCTGTTGTTGGAGGTAACCTGTAACGATCCTGGCTCTGTGACATCTTGCGTTGTCATCCTGGAAGATGAAACGGCGGCCATGACGTCGTGCGAACGGCACAACATGGACTGCCAAGATGTTGTCCCGGTAGTACTGGCCTGTAACACGCCCTGCAACAACATGTAAAGCCGTTCTTCCAGCAACAGTGATGCCTCCCCACACCATAACAGAACCACCCCCAAATCGATCATGTCTGATGACGTTAACGTCTTGGAAGCGCTCGTTTCGACGACGCCACACCCTCCTACGTCTGTCCAAAAAATCGACAGTGAACCTTGACTCATCTGAAAACATCACATTGCTCCAGCGTCGATTATCCCAGTGTTGACGATCCCTACACCAACGACGTCTTGCCTGAATGTGATGATCTCTCAAACAAGGGATCACGCGAGGACGTCGGGCGCGAAGGTGACCCCTATGCAGTCGATTCCGAATTGTCTGGCCACTCACTCTCACACCAGTGTCTGTTTGAAGACGAGCGCTGATCTGATTTGCTGTGATGACACGATTTCTCAAGGCCAAGGTACGGATAAATCGATCCTGGGCTTGAGTTGTCGCCCTTGGTCGACCTGAGCGTGGTCTGTCCTGTACAGATTGTGTATCACGGTATCTGGACCATAGCCTGCTTATGACAGACTGAGAAACATTCATCGTCCGCGCCACAACCGCCTGTGTTGTGCCGATCTGTAGCTTGCCAAGGGCACGTAACCTTTCATTTTGGGTAAGCCGACGCATATCAAAATTTGTTTTCTGGTCACTAAAACAATTAAACTGATGTTTCCACCCTGGAATTCAATGCCACAATGACTGTAACATTCAAAGTCAGAGTCGTGCAAATCTTGGGTTGGACCCCCATGATGATCCCAAGCATCACCTGCATTCCATGCGGTAGCTATTGGTGCGTTTGGGCATCACATGTAACTGGAAATGTTTCTTCTGTTAGGTTCTATAGTGACTTTTTTCGTAGTCATTTGCATATTTTAGTATTATGCCCCCAAAATCAAATATCCCCTACTTTTTATACGTCCACATTCATAATGTGAACGTATTATGCCGTCGCCCCTGTCTGTGTGTGTGTGTGTGTGTATGTATGTATGTGTGTGTGTGTGTGTGTGTGTGTGTGTGTGTGTGTCTGTGGTTCGCCTACAGGGCGCAATTCTTCATGGATTTTCTTCAAACTTGGTATACTTATTCCTTATACCCCAAGGAAGATCCCTATTGTTTTTGGTGCATGCCCGACCCCCCGGGGCAGAGCCACGCCCATTTCTAGTATTTGTTTGTTTGTCGTCTACAGGCCACATTTCTTAACTAATAATCTTGAAACTTTGCATACACATTCTTTGTACCCTAAGGAACATCCCTATCGTTTGGGGTGCATGCCCAACCCCCAGGGGCAGAGCCACGCCCATTTTCTTTTCGTGTGTCTTTGTGTCGCCTACAGGGCGCAATTCTTACTGGATTTTCTTCAAACTTGGTATACTTATTCCTTATACCCCAAGGAAGATCCCTATTGTTTTTGGTGCATGCCCGACCCCCAGGGGCAGAGCCACGCCCATTTCTAGTATTTGTTTGTTTGTCGTCTACAGGCCACATTTCTTAACTTATAATCTTGCATACACATTCTTTGTACCCTAAGGAACATCCCTATCGTTTGGGGTACATGCCCAACCCCCAGGGGCAGAGCCACGCCCATTTCCCATTTTCTTTTCGTGTGTCTTTGTGTCGCCTACAGGGCGCAATTCTTACTGGATTTTCTTCAAACTTGGTATACTTATTCCTTATACCCCAAGGAAGATCCCTATTGTTTTTGGTGCATGCCCGACCCCCAGGGGCAGAGCCACGCCCATTCCTTATATTTATTTATTTGTTTGTCATCTACAGACCGCATTTCTTAACGTATCAACTTTACATATTTATTCCTTATACCCTAAGGATGATCCCTATTGTTTTTAGTGCATGCTCGCCTCCCCGGGGCAGAGCCACGCCCATTTTTGTATTTGTTTGTTTGTCGTCTACAGGCCGCATTTCTTAACGTATCATCTTGAAACTTTGCATACTTATTCTTTGTACCCTCAGGAACATCCCTATCGTTTTGGGTGCATGCCCACCCCCCAGGGGCAAAGCCACGCCCATTTTCTTTTTCTATGTGTGTGTGTCGCCTACAGACCACAATTCTTAATCAATTGTCTTGAAATTTTTTCATATGAATTGCTTATACCCTAACGATGACCCCTATTGTTTTTTTACCCCCAGGGGCAGAGCCACGCCCATTTTCTTTTCTTTTTATGTCTGTGTGTCACCTACAGGCCACAATTCTTAATCAATCGTCTTGAAAATTTTTCATATGAATTGCTTATACCCTAAGTATGATCCCTATTGTTTTTGGTGCATGCCCGACCACCAGGGGTAGAGCCACGCCCATCCCTTATATTTATTTATTTGTTTGTCATCTACAGATCGCATTTCTTATCGTATCACCTTGAAACTTAGCATACATATTCCTTCTATCCTAAGGAACATCCCTATTAGTTGTGGTGAATACCCAACCCCCAGGGGCAGAGCTACGCCCATTTTCTTTTTTTATGTCTGTGTGTCACTTGCAGACCGCATTTCTTAATCG